CTATCATGTCTCCCCTGTTTCTTCTTTGCTTTAGACTAGCCAAACCGAAGCCCCACACCCGTTCTTCATATGTTTTAGCCTCCAGGCCTTGGATCCTCTTAGTTGCTCTTCTCTGAATTTTTTTCTAAATGTAGAGAATGATGCAAGAAGGCCTTTCTGTTGGATGGACCAGCCCTTACCACAGCGACAGGAAGGGCAGCATCCAGACCGCTGGTCACAGCGCATCTCTGTGGCAAAGGGGCAGCTGATTGGTTCCCTCGCTTGGCACGAGACATTCCTGGTCTGGATAAAGACCTCCTCGTTCACACGGACACATTTTTTGATGACGCAGGGATCAGTCGGAGACGTCCATTCAGAGCCAATCTAGGAATGTAAGACAACAGAAAGTTTTAGGCAGCACAAAGACCAACCTTTCTTTGTAACTCGCTCGGGGAAGAGATGTGTATGTTAATAATAACAATAATAACAGTAATAACAGTAATAACAGTAACAACAACAACAACAATAATAATAATAATAAAGTTGGAAGGGACCTTGGAGGTCATCCAGTCCAATCCCCTGCTCAGGCAGGAAACCCTATACCATTTCGGACAAATGGCTGTCCAGTTTCTTCTTAAAAACTTCCAGTGTTGGAGCATTCATCGCTTCTGGAGGCAGGTTGTTCCACTGGTTAATTGTTCTCACCATCAGGAAGTTTCTCCTTAGTTCTAGGTTGCTTCTCTCCTTGGTTAGTTTCCATCCGTTGCTTCTTGTCCTGACTTCAGGCGCCTTGGAGAATAGCTTGACTCCCTCTTCTTTGGAGCAACCCCTGAGATACTGGAAGGTTGCTATCATGTCCCCCCTCGTCCTTCTCTTCATTAAACTAGACCTACCCAGTTCCTGCAACTTCAAGGGGTGCCTCAACTGAAACGTTGAAACAAAGTGGTCCTTGAAGCTCCGTGCAGCTCTTACAATTCATGGCTTAAGTGCTTCTTTCCAACCAGTCTCCACCAGATGGGAAGACCCACTGCACAAGGAAAGCAAAAACGCCCGTCCTCTCTCACCCACAAATGCCTTACATTGTGCCAAACGACGTCTTCATCTCCTCGAGACCAAAGAGGTGTATCTTCACACATAGTCCGGAGACATTTCCCACAGCATGCCCCTTCTCTGTTGACGTATTTGTATCCCTGCAAAACATGAAAGAAACAACAACAACAAAAGTCAAGAATGTGCAACTTTTCCCGTATAATACATTACAGGTCGTCCCCAACTTACGATGGAGGCCACGATGTATGTTGCTCACAATGTAAGTGAGAAATTGGTGAAGTGAGCTTTGCCCCATTTTATGATTTTCCTTGCCACGTTTGTTAAGTGAATCCCTGCAGTTGTTAAATTAGTAACGGATTAGTAATGAATTAGTAATGAATTAGTAACGAATTAGTAACAAATTAGTAACAAATTAGTAAAGTGAATCTCGTTTCACCATTGGCTTTGGTCGTCAGAAGGTCGCAAAAGAGGATCATGTGACCCCAGGACACTGCAACTGTCATAAATGTGTCAGTTGCCAAGCAACCAAATATAAATCACGTGACCAGAGGGATGCCGTAAGTGTGAAAAGTGTGAAGAATTCCTGAGCCAGCATGGCTCAGCTTGGAAACCTCTCCCTTTCCCCTCAGCGTGCCTGGCTGAGGAATTCTGGGAGTTGAAGTCCACGAGTCATGAAGGGGCCATAGTTCCCCCATGCTAGCTCAGGAATTCTGGGAAATAAGAATATTATAATGTATTATTAACCAGCTGGTGTAAGATCTTGGGATGAATTGTGATAAAGGAAATTGGGGTTGTTTAAAACTTGGAAACTATAAATATTAAACGTTAAAATTAAAATATTAATGGGAAACTAAAAATTGGGAAAAACTTATCAGGACATGGATGGTCTAAAAGGATGGAATGTTAAAATGACTAAGAGATGTATACACTAAAAATTATCGATAAATGTAAGAAAGCTATTTGTATTAAATTGATATAATAAGAATTGTACTAATTTAAATGTGAGACAGTAAATACCAAGGGGAAATTTAATGTCATAGTTTGTGATCTGTACTAAAGAAATTTGTATGTTATTGAGTTATGAACCAACCCAGCCGCCAGGTTGCTTTTCAGATATTTAAATGTAAAACTGGAAAATCAATAAAAAAATTAAAAAACAACAACATTTTCTCTCTCTCTCAAATATACAGATTATATGGAATGTAATTGGCAATACAATAATGTTAGTTCATTGGCCACCAATCCTTAAGTCAATATATAATTGTAATCCATGGATGAAGCGTGTTCAGTGTTGCTTTGATTCTACTCGATAGAATATCAATCAATTATGGTATTGTAATTGCATAAAGCTCTAAAACAGGTTTAGGATTAATAGAAAAATAAAGTTATAAATAGATTATTTTAAATATATTAAGCTATTTGAGGGAAATAGAGAGGGAATATTTGATGTACTGATTGAGTTATTTATATATGTTTTGTTTTTGGATTTTTGATTACCCCAGTACCACGGTGTGTCTCGAGCACTTTGTCTTAAGAATAAAAAAAACCAATAAAATGTGTTTTTTAAAAAAAGAATATTAATCGTCTCGCATTCAATAAAAAAAAAAATGTGAAAAGCATGTGCCACTTAATAAAGCTGCCTCTGATCCTTGATAGGAAGGTCATATTTAAAAGGGATTTTTTTTCTTATTTTCTGAAGCAGAAACCAAACGCCTGAGAAATGAATGTTTTTAACTAGTGGCAACGTAATCCCCTTATTTGATTACCACTTGTAGCATTTACCCAATCATCCAAAACAGGGGACGTGTTCTTGTTATGTTTTGGAAGGATATCCCACTTCTTTTTACAGAGCCTTAAGTCCTTCCTGATGTTACAATAAACACATCTTATTCTGGATAGGCCCAAGTTCCCTGGGAAATCAGTAGCAACAGCGGCATCTCCTGGCATCTGAATTTCATCACAGAAAATTGAGAGTCCTCTCCACTAAGGTCAGGCCAACACAGATGAGAGAAGAAGTCACAGATCACAGAATAACAGAGCTGGAAGGGACCTTGGAGGTCTTCTAGTCCAACACCCCGCACAAGCAGGAGACTCTCATTTCAGACAAGTGGCTGTCCAGTCTCTTCTTAAAAACTTAAAAACTTAAAAACTTCCAGTGTTGGAGCATTCACAACTTCTGGAGGTAGGAGTAGAGTAGAGTAGAGTAGAGTAGAGTAGAGTAGAGTAGAGTAGAGTAGAGTAGAGTAGAGTAGAGTAGAATATGGAATAGAATAGAATAGAATAGAATAGAATAGAATAGAATAAGAAATAAGGAATAGAATAGAATAGGATAGGATAGGATAGGATAGGATAGGATAGGATAGGATAGGATAGGATAGGATAGGATTGGATCGGATCGGATCGGATCGGATAGGATAGGATAGGATAGGATAGGAAGAGACTTTGGAGGTCTTCTAGTCCAACCCCCTGCTCAAGCAGGAGAACCTATCCCATTTTAGATAAATGTCTAGTCTCTTCTTAAAAACCTCCAGTGATGGAGCAACCACAATTTCTGAAGGCAAAAGTTGTTCCACTGGTTAGTTGCCCTCACTGTCAGGAAGTTTCTCCTTAATTCCAGGGTACTTCTTTTTTTGATTAGTTTGATAACAGTCTTCCAGTATTTGAGGGGCTGTCACAGAGAAGAGGGGGGGGGATCAACCTATTCTCCAAAGCACCTGAGGGCAGGAGAAGAAAGAACAGGCAGAGATCGTCAAGGAGAGAAGCAACCTAGAACCAAGGAGAAAATTCCTGACAAGTGGAACGGCTTGCCTCTGGAAGTTGTGGGCGCTCCATCCCTGGAGGCTTTTAAGAAGAGATTGGACAACCATTTTCCGGAATGGTGTAGGAGCTCCTGCTTGAGCAGGGGGTCGGACTAGAAGACCTCCAAGGTCTTTTCCAAAGCTGTTTTCTATGTTTTAAACGTCACGTTTATCCGAGGCAGGAGCTACAGCTAACACCATGTTTACGCCAAAATAAGTTCGTCAAACTTGAGATCAAAAAGTGTACATCACAGAGGCTACCAAGCTTTCATCTGATCCATATTTTCCCCTTCTGAGATATGGACTCAGCAGCATTGAGCACTTTGTCAGGCCAGGTGTTCCCACTATTCAACATGCCAACTCTATTTCAGAACAGTTGCTGTGTTTACTGTTTCATGTTCCAAAGCTTTCAGCGTCGTGAAATACGGCCCTTAAAAATAGGATTTTTTTCACATGCGCTTAAAATCCCGTCTTCCTGAAATTTTTATGGGTTCTAATAATAAGCCCTTTTACGTTCATGTTGAACACCTGGGGAAGAACAAACCTGGCGACTTCAAAAGGAAACCGTCAGCGTGAAATATTATGGATTGTGCTCGGATTTTACGATTAGCATCCCCAAAGAGGCAACGTTTCTGATTTTTCCCCATCTCGCACAGTATCAGCTGATGGAACAGGATTAAAATGTATACAGCTGAAATTCAGGAAAAAAGAATTGTTTTTATCGGTTTGTGCTTTATCGGTTGCGATGTGAACTCCCCTGCTCCAGTTTTCAGGTACGTAGGAGCAAAGTTGTGTGTGACAATTTTGCTCGACTGCTTCTACACACACACGCATACACATATATATGCATATACATATATATATATACCAGGGGTCTTCAAATTTGGCCCTTTTATGACTTGTGGACTTCAACTCCCAGAATTCCTCAGCCAGCCTCCATTTTGTTTGTTAGATTTAAGACAGGGGTCTTCAAACCTGGCCCTTTGATGACTGGTGGACTTTAACTCCCAGAATTCCTCAGCCAGCCTCCATTTTGTTTGTTAGATTTAAGACAGGGGTCTTCAAACCTGGCCCTTTGATGACTGGTGGACTTTAACTCCCAGAATTCCTCAGCCAGCATGCCCGCTTTTACCCTGGCAGAGTCCAACTAGAGTATTCTATTCTAAACAATATTTGGGAACTTTACATACCGCTGGGCAGGACGTACTGCATCCTTTCTCCAGGCATTCTGAAATTCGTAGTCCTGTCACAGCGTCTTTCATGTGGGTGCAAGAACACTCCTTACATCCTTCCTCCCAAGTCATCCCAAGAGGATAGACAATGTTGCGGTGTACACACACCTGTCATTAATGAGAAAGAGTTTCATTTCATTGCCTGGACTTCTTGTTGTGGGAAGGACTAGAGTGGATGGTTTGTTTTCGGGGTTTACCTGATCAGGAATGCACGTCGTAGACGTGCAACCGCAGTCATTTGTGACGGAGGATGAGAGGTAGCCTGGCGGGCAGGTCACCGTTGAATTGTTACAGCTACAAACACACTGGAACTCATCACAGCACCGAGTCTTCACCAAAATCGGTTTGCGGTGTGGTGGGCAGAACGGGGTGGACTGTGGCTTACACTCTTCCTTTTTGCAGACTGCCAATCAAATCAGAAAACCCAAATAATTTGCCGCAGAGCTTCTTCCCCCCTCCCCNCTGGCGGGCAGGTCACCGTTGAATTGTTACAGCTACAAACACACTGGAACTCATCACAGCACCGAGTCTTCACCAAAATCGGTTTGCGGTGTGGTGGGCAGAACGGGGTGGACTGTGGCTTACACTCTTCCTTTTTGCAGACTGCCAATCAAATCAGAAAACCCAAATAATTTGCCGCAGAGCTTCTTCCCCCCTCCCCCGCCAGGCTATAGGTAGTGAGGGAAGACGACGAAAATAAAAAACTTATAAGCAGACATCCAATAGGGGAGTTATTAGGAAGCTGACCCAGCGTTTGAGTGTTTGAAAGGGATATTACCGCAAGCGTAATCTGGTCGACATCCTCCGGGATTTGCCTGGATGAGTTGGAGACCATCTTCACAGTGAGGTATCAGAGGCAATTTGCAAGAGATCAGATCGCAGACTAAACACAGAAAAAAAACAAGAGAAGTTACCCCCTGCAACAAACCGCAGAACAGGATCTATTAGGAGCATTAAGGAACCCACATGCCTGTTGCCAATTGTGAAAAGATGGCTTAAGACCATCAACTATTGGCCTGGTGGTGAGATGGGCTCCATACAAGAGAGATGGATAGTTGGACAGATGGACAGATAAGACAGAAAGATACTGTAGATAAAGGTAGATGGATGGATGGATGGATGGATGGATGGATGGATGGATGGATGGATGGATGGATGGATGGATGGATGGATGGATGGATGATGGATAAGACAGACAGATAGGTATAGATGGATGGATGGATGTATAAGACAGATTGATAGATATGGATGGATGGATGGATGGATGGATGGAGATAGATAGATAGATAGATAGATAGATAGATAGATAGATAGATAGATAGATAGATAGATAAAGATATAGATAGACAGACAAAGATAAATGATAGAGATGATAGAGATAGATGATAGAGAAAATAGATAAATAGATTAGACTAGATAGACAAGAGATTAGATAGAGATAGATAGATAGTCAGAGATAAATGATACTAGATAGATAGATAGATAGATAGATAGATAGATAGATAGATAGATAGATAGATAGATAGACAGACAGACAGACAGTGCACCCTGAAAAAGCTAATGTCCTTGACTGAAGTTCAGATATCTGACCCCCTGATCACATGACTACATTTTGGCAGCTCAGCAACCAGCCAGTGTTCCACAATCATGTGACCACAATTCTCCCCGCCTCCCACAAGCCAACATTTACTTCTAGTTTCTGGCAAAAAAAATGACCTACCGCATTCAAAAACTGGACAGCACTGATTGGAGTTCCTCTGCAGTCTTGGAATCTCACAGGGACCACAGTCAATGGCTGAGATAGAAAGAAAGAGAAAGAGAGAGAGAGAGAAACATCAATATCAAAACAGGATGAACCAACTTCTAAGAATTCTCCAGGGACCATTTTGAGAGGAAAGGAGGAGGAGGAGGAGGAGGAGGAGGAGGAGGAGGACTGTGGGGTCCTTGGTACTCTCTGAGTTGGTGGTTTTCTTGCAGACGTTTCATTACCCAACTAGGTAACCTCACCAGTGCACTGATCATGTCACCTAACTTGGTAATGAAACATCTGCAAGAAAACCACCAACTCAGAGGTCACTAAAGCATCCATAACTCAACCCTGATCTACAAATATTGTCTTCTGAAGGGGATACATTTGCTTCGTGAAAAAAAGCACCTTTGGGTTATCCGCCACTCTTTCTTCGACATCATGTCCATTTTTTGTCCACGGAAATCATGTCAAAGAAACGGCGGCGGATAACATTAATCTGGTTGAGTTATTGCGTACGGAACTTTCTCGTGGCAAGTTGTCCTGATGGCAAGATGACTGTGGCACGTTGGCTGCGGTGAGGGGCCCCAGTCCGTGCAGGGGAGCCTCCCTTAAAGATATTTTTCAAGACGGTTTTAAAAGACGGTCGTGGCTTACGTTTGGCTGTCGCGCAAGGCTGTGACACACAATTGACGGTCCTGTTCTCCAGGCACATGCAGACCTTGCAGGGGTCGATGGAAGGAATCCACGTTTCCATGAGCTGTTGGAAAAAAAGAAGAAGAAGAAATGAATCTTTCTAATTGGTTTGGATGCAAGTGAAACCCACTTGTTGTTAATTGCAAAGTCGTGTCCGACCCATCGCGACCCCATGGACAACGTTCCTCCAGGCCTTCCTGTCCTCTACCATCTTCTGGAGCCCATTGACGCTCCCGCCTCCTGCTTCAGGGACTCCATCCAGCCACCTCATTCTCTGTCGTCCCCTTCTTCTTCTCTTGCCCTCCATCTTTCCCAGCATTAGGCTCTTCTCCAGGGAGTCCTTCCTTCTCATTAGGTGGCCAAAGGACTTGAGTTTCAACTTCATGAAACCCACTGCCAGGTACAAATAATTTCAGGGCCTCACTCCTTCCCCCCCCCTCCAAATTTACGAGCACGCTCCTAAAAATACTGGAAGAAAGGGGACGTGTTGCTTATTCGTTAAATAAAGCATACCAAATATTGACTCAATAAGAGAAGTGGAGCCAGACCTTGGGAAATTTCAGGAAGGATAGTGTTTCATATTATTCCTTGGTCATGCATTTTATAACAAAGGCACCCCAGCTTATTTTACACTAAAAACATTCCAGATTGCTCCCTGAGCATGTCCTTTCCTAAGAATATAGGCTGATGGTAAACAGACGCCCGAACTACAGACTGTAACTCCTTGGAGAGGCTACTAAAAAGCAATAAATAACTCCGGAGAGCAACGGACACCAAGGTGTTCCACAGATGGAGCAAAAGGAGAGAAAGTATTAAAAAAATAGTCAAAGGCTGTTGGAATATTGGTGAGAAACTAAAAATTGGGTAAAAATTAATAACAGGATATGGATGGTTTAGGAAGATTGAACGCAATTAAGATACGCATAAGCTAAAAAAAATATATTGGTAAATGTAATAATGATGTTTTTACTGAGTTGATATAATAAGAACTGTACTAGCTTGAAGTCCGCAAGTCCTGAAAAGGGCTGTTGTCTCCCCCATCTCTGCAATAAGTGATGGGCAGGGGTGGGGAACCTGGGCCCTTTTATGACTCGTGGACTTCAACTCCCAGAATTCCTGAGCCAGCCACGCTGAGGGGAAAGGGAGAGGTTTCCAAGCTGAGCCATGCTGGCTCAGGAATTTTGGGAGTTGAAGTCCACGAGTCATAAAAGGGCCGAGTTTGAAGACCCCTTGACTTGTGGACTTCAACTCCCAGAATTCCTCAGCCAGGCATGCTGAGGGGAAAGGGAGAGTTTCCAAGCTGAGCCATGCTGGCTCAGGAATTCTGGGAGTTGAAGTCCACGAGTCATGAAGGGGCCATAGTTCCCTATGCTGGCTCAGGAATTCTGGGAGTTGAAGTCCACGAGTCTTAAAGTTGCCAAGATTGAGGACCCCGATATAGGGCAGGGGTGGGGAACCTTGGCTCTTTTATGACTCGTGGACTTCAACTCCCAGAATTCCTGAGCCAGCCATGCTGAGGAGAAATGGAGAGGTTTCCAAGCTGAGCCATGCTGGCTCAGGAATTCTGGGAGTTGAAGTCCACGAGTCATAAAAGAGCCAAGGTTGCCTACCCCTGGTGATGGGAGTCAGGAGGGGACGCCTCACCTGGTGGCGACTTCCATCTTCACCGATGCATTGGGAGCAGATGTCTTCGTGAACACAGGTGCCATCCAGGACGACCTGTCCCGGTGGGCAGAAACAGCCCTCGGTGGCATAGTCCGTGCAGATTTGCATGTCGGTCCCGTTCTCACAGTGTTTTGTGCACCCTTTCTGGCAGGGCTGGTAGATCAGAGAGGCCGGGCACGGCATGGCTGCAGAGGTCAAACACACAAAGAAAGTCACACCAAGTCCCTTGGAGAAATAAGCAGACTAGCCCTGGCTGACTGTAAATCAGTCAGAAAGGGATCAAGGTAAAATTGTGCTAAAAATAAACAATCTCTAATCTACCTCGGATGCTTGAACGAGGTTGGGAGGA